ATACGCTTTTGCTCAACGTTGCGACAGCTCACTCATTAGATGAAATGCAATAACTGACGGACATGGGTTGGTGGTGAGGTTGAGTGTCCAGGATGTGACATGTTCATAAGCGCACGCATTTTGACTCCAATTGAAGAATGTCCTTTAACTCATGGGTTTATGCATCATTGGAACAAGAAAATAACTGGTTAGATATTTAGAAGCTTTTTCTGTTTAATTCCCAAATGGGTAGGGTGCATCGACCATGTAACACCCATCTTGAAGTAAGTATCTATTAAAAAAACTCAAATACCATCTCGATCAACGATGCAAGTTAATAAAGGTAAAAGGTTTCGTAACAAGCGTAAGCGTATGATTAAAAATAAAATAAGTAATAATCAAAATTAATAATCTCTAGAGAATGGGGAGGTATATTGTGAAAATAAGGAAAGAAGGAGCGTTGGTAACGATATTGTCACAAATACGATTATTCTTTGGTTTTGATCCTCATTTCGGACAAAATAACATACATTCCGAAACTAGTTACGATATCTGAATAAAATCTAGACATTATGAATCTAGATTGTATTAAAATATCCCTATAAAATGCAATTACAGGACTAATATACCTAAAATGAAAATTTAATTTAAGTACAATCCACAAATTGTAAAATTTTAATAACGCTGTCCACCCATTCGAGAAAATACCAAGCGCAATATTGTATGCTCTGACCATAAACGCGGAATTATGGTGATATATCTTTGTTTCCATTTAAAAAACAAGATAATATATCCGATCTTACACAATCATCTTGCATAACATGAGATCCGCATTCTGGGCTAATGACTCAATTATTTATTATTAAAAAACAGTCTTTTGGACAAAGGAAATTTAATTTACTTGGAGATTGAACAATCTTCTTCTGCCGTCATACAATGTTCACATGTAAACAGCAGCTCATGTTAAGAGATTGTCCAGTCAACTGATGGTTGCGGTGACTGTCCAGGCGACACACGTACTTAGGTATCGTCATGAGCTAATGTTCACATATAAACAGCAGCTCATGTAAAGAGATTGTCCAGTCAACTGATGGTAGCGGTGACTGTCCAGGCGACACACGTACTTAAGTATCGTCATGAGCTAATGTTCACATGTAAACAGCAGCTCATGTAAAGAGATTGTCCAGTCAACTGATGGTAGCGGTGACTGTCCAGGCGACACACGTACTTAGGTGTCGTCATGAGCTAATGTTCACATGTAAATAGCAGCTCATGTAAAGAGATTGTCCAGTCAACTGATGGTAGCGGTGACTGTCCAGGCGACACACGTACTTAGGTATCGTCATGAGCTAATGTTCACATGTAAACAGCAGCTCATGTAAAGAGATTGTCCAGTCAACTGATGGTAGCGGTGACTCTCCAGGCGACACACGTACTTAGGTATCGTCATGAGCTAATGTTCACATGTAAACAGCAGCTCATGTAAAGAGATTGTCCAGTCAACTGATGGTAGCGGTGACTGTCCAGGCGACACACGTACTTAGGTATCGTCATGAGCTAATGTTCACATGTAAACAGCAGCTCATGTAAAGAGATTGTCCAGCCAACTGATGGTAGCGGTGACTGTCCACTGTCCAGGCGACACACGTACTTAGGTATCGTCATGAACTAATGTTCACATGTAAACAGCAGCTCATGTAAAGAGATTGTCCAGTCAACTGATGGTAGCGGTGACTGTCCAGGCGACACACGTACTTAGGTATCGCCATGAGCTAATGTTCACATGTAAACAGCAGCTCATGTAAAGAGATTGTCCAGTCAACTGATGATGAGAAGTTGGCCGTATTTAGGCATCATTAGTCGCTTTTACGGCCAGCAATCTAGCAAGGGAGTCAAGGTTTATTACTATAATTCAAAGTCAAGAAAATCTTTGACAAATGACTTCCTAACCGCGTAAGTACTTATTTAACCGCAAATCCGAAAGTTCAAGTTGATATCTTAGATGTGGTTTGAATGTAACATAACTTCTCGCTTGTATTCTGTAGAGGGATAGGTAGAGATGTGATCGTGACAGACGGTTTAACGATGTTAGTATGTTATAGACACAAGTGTGGGACAGCCATGCTTCGGCACGAATGGGCCGGCTCAACCGGAGCTGTTTATTTAATACATTATTTATCGGTTTTATTTTATGTATGTAGTTTTAAGTAAGTACCTATTGGCTTAAATTTTGGTAATTTTTGTTCTTTTTCTTTGTTCATGGCATGTTACACACAGTGTCTTGGTTTTTACCGTTTTTCCTGTCGAAGGACTGCAGGAAGAGATTCCTACGGGAATATGTAGTAGCTATGTACCTCCAATCTTTATATATATAATTCTTCTGTGAGTGTCTATGTCACTGAACTTCTCTCAAACGACTGGAGCGATTTTGATGAAATTTTTTGTGTGTGTTCAAGGGGATCTGGGAATGGTTTAGATTCACAAATCAGACCGGCAGATGGCGCTGCAGTCGATGTTTAGGTTATTTATCCTAAACAACTGAACTAATTTGAATGAATTTTTGTTCATACATTCAAGTGGATATGCAGGACAACGTCTGTCGGGTCCGCTAGTTTATTTATATATGTGTTCTCCTGTGTACTGTCTCTGTGTTGTGCATAAATAAATAAAAAATAATTATTCCTAATTAGGAATTTAAACTTAGAACTTAAAAAATAGTTAAGACTATTTAAATTCATACTAAAGCTGTAATCATAACTATTTAAAAGAATAGTTATACTAAATTACGCACACATTAATAACCAATACATAGAAAGAGCACGCAATAAGCTCGTTAAAACATACAACATGAATTTTAAAATGCATGTGCTATATGGTTCCATCAAGCTGTGCGAATCCAGTATAAAGTGACCGCTGAATATACGGAAAGATTATACGAAGTAAGAGCATGATAAACTGGTTATTATAACCGGTATAAACAGACCGTTGTTTCTGTGGGAAGATGATACAAAACGGGGCCATGATAAATTGGTTTTGTATAGTATGCATCACTTTTATTACTTATATTCATGAATGCATGTAGTTCCTTTATGTACTAGACAAAACCGGTAAATGCATTTCCTTTGAGGAAATTCTCTAATACGTTATGTACTGTAGTTATGTAAAGAACAATACAAACTTTAGTCGGTAAAAATCGTTATTTACTCAAACACGTGTGGTATTTTCCGTTTTAATTTAAAATTGGCGTAATATAAAATGTGACGTAAATTATGTGATAAAATTATTATTTCAAATATTGTTTTAGTTTATTTATTTTTTGTTACGTTTATTTTAAGTGGGTCAGTTTATTTTATTTGTTTGGTTAATAAAAATTGTGGATTGCGATTTTGTAATGAATCGTGGTGTAATATTAACAATTAATAACTGACATAAATAATTTTATTTGAAGTTAGTTTCTTTATTGATTAACTTCTGGAGTAGAATATGTGCGTGAATTATTATTTAAATGATAATTTTAAATTAATAAATTAGTGCCATATTTAAAAAATAATATTATTATCTAATATTATGACAGTGCTCTCGATTTCTTATATGATTAAAATGTGTCAATAATTTTAATTTAATACTCGATTAAAATGAAGGTTTTTATAATAGTCTTAATAGTTAGCTCGTTAATAACAACAACAATTGAAAAGAAAAAATCTAAATATAAGAAAATGAAAGAAAAATTTGATATTGAGTCGGCCAATTGGACTTACACAGGTATGATTTACACACAAATAAATATATATTCTGTGCAATCTGTCAGTATGAGTATGAGTTCATATTATTATACAAGGTGTAGTTTTGAAACCATGACATTTCTCGGGGACATGTCACAGAAGTCATAAAGGTTCAATGTAAGAGAAAGTTTCGGGCCAATAGTTAAAAATACGCCTATAATATATCGTTTAAGTTCGACAGTATTTCAGAATAAGCGACAGTAATGGTTCTTATTAGAGTTTTATGAAATTAGGAATAATATCAATTACGTGTTTGAGTTTGTGTGTGTTAAGCCGCGTTATAAAACTAGTTATAAGATGGCGGCGTGTAGTTCGCACTTACGGATTTCCGTAAATTACAGAAAAATGAAAAATATACATATATGTACCTACAATTTTTTTATTGATTCGGACTCAGAATCGATAGCCGAGTTACCTCCTAGAAAATGACGCGGCTTTAAAACAACACCTTGTATAGATAGTGTTGTGAATGAGGTATTGAGATCGATTTGTTACATGATGTATATTGCATCTCACAATGGAATTTCAAATACTTATAGCAAACTTAATGGTTTATATTGTTTATTTTTTAATTTAATCGAAATTAAAGTTATGAATGCATGGTCCACCATTATCATTAACGTCAGTTTCCGCAGAATGACTTCCTGGTCGGTTGGAAAAGACCTGCTGCCAGCGGCTCCTTGCTTATGCTTCATCATCATAAGACGTAATTTTATTTCCATCATCAGCATCAGTGTTACTGTCTCACTGCTAAGAAAAAACTTCTTCTTACATGGAGAAGGAATAAACATTAATCACCACGTTTCCTCGACATTATATAGACCAAGTTTCATCACGATGTTTCCCTTTGTATAAATTATACAATACACGATTATTTATTATTACTTTTTAACATTCAACCATTTTATTAGTAAATATAAACAACTTAAAATTACCTTTAATAGATTTCTGGTTATTTTATTTTGTAATTTAACTTACATAAGGACATAAATAAAATTAATATTAACTATCCTATGGAGTTTCTTGCTCGTTCTTCTCCATAGGAATCTACACCTTGGAATGAGCAACTAGCTTCACTTCTAAATTTTTGTTGTTTGACGTTCAAAAGTGCCATCCTGGTCTAATTGAAATAAATGATTTTGACTTTGACTAAATGAAAATATATACAACATTAAAATATAAATAACTATGAACTAAAATATTTACACGATTTTAATTTATTTCTTCTCTTGTTTCCAGGTTGTGGTATCGCAGTTGGTAAGCAGACGGCACAGCGAAGGATTGTTGGTGGTGATGATGCTGGCTTCGGCACCTTCCCCTGGCAAGCATACATCAGGATAGGATCCTCAAGGTTAAACAACCCCTTTATTTTTAATTTTTTCGTGATTACGAATTTATGTCATAATTTATTTTATTTTTGATTAATTATTTTTTATATTATTACTAATATTTATTTTATTAATTTGTTGATATTTATTTATTTTATTAATATTGGATCAATATATTTAACGAGAATGAAAATTAGTTACATTATATTTATTTTCGGCGAATTATTTTAATATTTATCAGCCAAACTATTTAGAATCAAATAGACCTTCAACTTAAATTTATGATATATGTATTATACTTATTATTTGTATATATATTTATTTTTATACATCATTCCTTTCATCGGACATAACGGAAATAATGCATTTTGTTCCATTTTCATTTTTATATTTCGGTTACTTATGAGGGGTAAATATAGTTCAATCTATAAGTATATGAGGTTTAAACAGCGTATGGGAACCCTTTGGTTATTTTATTAATGGAAAATGTTTTAAATTATAATTAGGAATAAATTTAAAACATTTATTTAAACAATTTTAATGTTAATTAGTTTTATTTTCAAAGAAAATTCTTACAACGTACTTTGGATGGATCTCCTTTTAAAATTTTCCATTAATAAATATATCATTAATTTTGAATACACGTTCATTTTGACACAACACTACATTACACCACAAATCTATATATTACAATTTTGTGTTACACATTTAATAGCACAAAAATAAAAACAAATAATTTTGTAAATTATGCACTAATTGACTAAAACGTTACTAATATTAATGTGTTTATAATAATATCCCTAATATTTGGTTCACGCTAACGAATTATTATTAAACTTAAATAAATAGTTTTTGAAAAGCAGGGTTACAAGTTAAAAACAGGCGAGCATCACCTCAGGGCCTTAACTCTGGTATTTTTATAATTGTTGTCATTCCAACACGATCTCATTGTCATTTTGCTAAAAGTTCCTAATCTGCTAATTTTTTTATATAGCATAAGTCGGTAAACGAGTAGACGGATCACCTGATGGTAAGCAATCGGCGTAGCCCGTGGACACCTGGAACACCAGAGGCGTTACAAGTGCGTTACTGGCCTTTTGGGAATTGGGAATTCGAGGATTGTGGAGGATTCGGGGATTCGGGAGACTAGATAGGGTTAGGTAAATTCGTAATAGTCGATCATTGATCGGTCATTGGTCTCGAAATGGAATTGTAGTAGAATGACATAGACGTATTGCCATTATTATATACCTAGTAAAAATAGTTAAAATAGTTTCCGAAAAACTACTACTAAATTTGAACATTTCACGCCAGATGCTACTTATATTTTATTTTACAAAATATCTATCAGTGTTATATGCAAACTGTGTACTTTCAATGATGTGTAAGTGGTTGATCATTAGAGAGTCATAATAACGCCATTGCATTAGTAAATTACCAAACTTATCAAAAGCAACAATTTCGAAATTAATGATGGATCATTCTGACACTATTGTTATAGCAGACTTGAGGTATTGGTGTCTGCTTTCCAATCGTGGAGTTTATAGAAGACTCTTATCTTACCTGTGGACACAGAGCCGAATACTCTAAGGATTCCATTCATTCATTCGCTACAACTATGCGCTTCACACGTAGCTTCCTGCCTCGCAAAGCAAAACTGTGGAATGATCTGTCGTCGGCGGTATTTCCGAACCGATACGACCTTCAAACCTTCAAGAAAAGAGCGCATTCCTTTTTAAAAGGCCGGCAACGCACCTGTGAGTCCTCTGGTGTTGCGAGTGTCTATTGACGGCGCTGATCGCTTACCATCAGGTGATCCGTCTGCTCGTTTGCCTCCTATTCCATAAAAAAATGGCTGGCATTGGCTTATTTTTGACTGCATGGTTGGCGTGGTGGCTGGACAACCGGCTGCCGCGTAACGTGTTGCGCTTTCGATTTCCGCACGGAACAACTCTTTGTGTGATGCACAGATTATTGTTCCGGGTCTGGGTATTATGTGTATGTGAACTTGTGTGTTTGTAAATGTACCCACGACACAGGAGAAAATCCTAGTGTGGGGGGCAACGTTAAAAAAACATAATTGGTGGTTGACTCATAAGTCCACAAAAGTCCACCATGAGTCAACCTAAAGACGAGTGGACTGATTGTGGACTCGTGAAATATGAAACTTTTAATTAAAATTATTATTCATCCAGAATTTCTTGTATGCTCATTGGCCGAGTGGTCGCAAGTGCGACTGCTGGGAAAAGGGGCTTTTTAAAAATTCTCAGTAGTAGCACGGAGTCTGGAATTGTGCCCGGTATATGGCAATAGGTTCACCTCCTATTACTTGGGACTCGTAACATAAATAGTGAAAAGTTACATTGTACATTGGCATTAAGTGCCGTAATGTGCACCTCTGCCTACCTCTTCGGGGATAAAAGGTGTTATTTTATGTTATGTTATGTTATGTAATTTCTTGTAATTGATACTCGAACATAGGTAACTATAGGTACCTACCTGTATATATATGCGCGAACCAAATATGTATTTATTTGTGTAAATAACAATACCAACTTATAAATGTGGAAATAATAAATTTAATTTGATTTCAGTGTCCTGTGTGTCTTAATTTATTATTTATTACTGTCGTGGTTTGATTGATTTATCATCGTACCTGTGTAGTTATCAGCAATATTTGTAATAGTTACGCTTTTCAATTTAATATAAAAAAATGTAATATAACTTTATTTTATTATTTGTTCTATTAAGATAAAGATAATGGTCTTTAAATAAATTTATTATTTCCATTAAAAATAATACTAATTAATCACCATTATATATGACTAATATTATAATTAATGTATTAACATGAATTAATAATTGATTTTACAGATGCAACATGCTTATGTCGATATTCGAGCTTATCGGTTGGAAGCAGTGTTGGATAGAGAGGTAAATGTGCGAAAGAGATAGCATGTTGTCCAGCAACTCCTACTTTTAATTTTGTAGTGGGTTTGATGACGTATTCAAGTTGCGTTACATTATGAGAATAAAATGTCCAAATTTCATGCCAAAATAATGACAAAAGTTATCAATTTGTTCTGTTTCTCGTTTTTTTTTTGTCATTCCTACAACAATGGTTTAGCTACATATATATTAACCACAACGGTGGGTAATACATTAATAATGGAGATTAACAAACTATAAAAAGTTAAAGTGCAAGTGCAACTATGTGCTATATAGCTATAATTAATACAGATGCATTTTCTGTTCTCTCATTCTGATGGCGTCAATCATTCATGATTTTTTAATGTTTCGTAACCTAAATATGTCTGCTATCTTAGAACAAAGGTTTTAAATAGGTAGTGTAAATCGTTCAATTTTGGAAATTGAAAAAAAAAATATGTCATTTGGTGTGACAGGCTGAATACAAAATATATTACGTCCTACGTTGTTTTCAATTTTCAAAATTTTGATTCTTTTTTATTAGACCTATGAATGTAGTACTTTCTATCTCTTTCCTTCGTAGTTAAAATAGCGAAATTACTATTTTGTTATATTCACCGACTTTTTCGCACATTCCTCTTCTTATATTAAATCGAAAATTTAAGGTTATATTTTTGTTAACATTATTTATTTTTGTTGTATTAATTAACTTTAACAAAATTAACATTTAATTATGTTTAACAAAATTTTATTTTTCAGAGGTAAGTGTTTATTTTATTTTTTGTTTATTTTAAGTACCTAGTGATCGAAGCATGATGGAATGCTTTGCATGTGTTTATTGTAATGCTAGTGATTTGAGGAGTGGAAAAGTGAATGCTAAGGTCTATTATTTAAGGTTGCTTTCTAAAGAAACTGTATCGTCTTTTCTTTGTCTCTAATGCTGACTAGCAGGACAACCCAATTTTCTCTATTCATGAAAACTCAACTGTCTCGCTAGATTTTTAAAATGTTTTAAAACCGCTTAAGATACTTGTGTAGTTTACAGGCTACGGCTACAGGCGACTGTAGTGGCCAAAGCAGAAACTCTCAAATTAATATCGACTTTACCACAAAACGTTACAGTTGAAATTCATTACTTTACAATCCTACTAGAATTTTACATAACCAAGTTTAACCAACCTCTTTAAAACGTTACAGATGCGGTGGCTCCTTAATATCGAGGCGGCATGTAGTCACCGCTGGTCACTGCGTCGCTCGCGCCCAACCTCGTCACGTCCGTGTAACCCTCGGCGATTACGTCATTAATTCTGCAGCCGAACCTCTGCCTGCATACACGTTTGGAGTCCGAACGATCAAAGTTCATCCCCTGTTCAAGTTCACGCCACAAGCTGATCGATTCGATGTGGCGGTCCTGACCTTGGATAGAAATGTCCATTACATGCCGCATATAGGTGAGTATGGAATTTATTTGTACTTTTAAAGTAAGAAGAACATTCATGTAGGTAACTTAGGTCTTAAAACTTTTTTGATTGCTCGACCAGACTCGCTTCATGTCGAGTCAAATATTTTTGAGTTGAAGCAATATACATACTCTTTGCTTGTTATGCGAATTACTTTTTTTTCCTCTTTCTTAAAATACATACAATAAGAGTTTACCCATTGAAAATTAAGCCCTAAATTTGTTCATAAAAAAGTAGTCTCTAAACACCGGAAACAAGGTCTATAATGTAGTTAGTGGTGAGCGGTCACCGGTGACCGCTCAGGGATATATCTATTATCGGGGTTTTAATCTATTATGGCAAACTCAAGTAATCAAGTATTTATTGCATCCATAATGTACATATACAGGTGGTTAGAAAATATAATTATGTAAAAAAGTAACAATTATGGACCCTGTCGGGCACAGCAACATTTAAAATTGGTAGGAGAGAGGAAGGGCACTTTGTTAGATTAATATCACTCATCGTGACCATGAAAATTATTTTACTAGCGAGAAATATGTAACGTATTAGGATCTGTCCAAACTACATACGAACTCGTATATTTTAACAGCACCGTCACAAGATGGATTGAAAAGCACCTATTTCTGCAACATTAATGTTCAATTCTTGAATTATTATTTCTCTCCCTCATTTATATCGGACACATACCAGTAACAAGATTTGAACATCTGCAACAAAATTAATGACTACATGGGATGTATAACGCAACTGTCGAAAACTGGGTGGATTACTGAATATGATCATCATTCTCTTTGAGGGAAAAACCTGATGCAATATGGCAATAGGCTCACCACTTATTCCATATCAAATCAAATCATTTATTTCCGTTGCAAACATGGGTTATAAAATATACAAAAGGTGTTTAATATTTATAGTATGGTTCTATACATTTTGCTGTTATGGCATGCAAGTATTTCCTAATCAATTTATCTACAAGTTTAACTTATACAACCTCTAAAATAATTGGTATAGTACCTCTAAAATAATTGGTGATTATTGACATTAGGAATTCACAATAATCATATTTGTCAACCCTGATTCCAGCACCCATCTGTCTACCGGAGCGTGGTTCCGATTTCCTGGGCCAGTACGGCTGGGCAGCTGGTTGGGGGGCGCTCAGTCCTGGCTCCAGGCTGAGACCACGCACCTTACAGGCAGTGGATGTCCCGGTGCTAGACAATAGAGTCTGCGAGAGGTGGCATCGGGCCAATGGTAAGTTATAAAGTTATTTGATAAATAGATGTATGGTGTGAGTTCCCCTAATTCCGTTGAATTTTTTTATGGCATTTATAAGCCGGTAAACGAGCAGACGGATCACCTGATGGTAAGGAATCGGTGTCGCCCATGGACACCTGGAACACCAGGGGCGTTACAAGTGCGTCACCGGCTTTTTGAGGATTGAGAGTTTGAGGATAGTTGGGGATTCAGGGATTGGGGAGATTGGGGAAGGGGATGGTAATTGGACCTCCGGTAACTTTACTCACACGACGAAACACAACGCAAGCGTTGCAAGCGTCGGTTTTCTGTGAGGCCGTGGTATCACTCTGGTCGAGCAGGCCCATTCGTGCCGAAGCATGGCTCTCCCACACTTAAAATATGAATAATTTGAAAGTTGGACTACAGACGTTACGATTTCAATTTCTGAACCCAATAAACTTTGAGAATTTTCAATAATGGTGCCTAGTATTTAAAACTAAATAACATAAATCGATGTTCTACAGTTCATCTTCTTTTAATAGCAAACTTCCAGTCTATCATACTGATAGCATAGCTCCCTGCTATCCTGATCATGAAATCACCTTATCACCTAATTGATTTATCCTTATTCTCCAATCTCCAATAACCACATTATAACATAACATAACATAACATCACGCCTTTTATTCCCGAAAGGGTAGGCAGAGGTGCACATTATACCACTGTACAATGTAACACCCACTTTTCACTATTTATGTTATGAGTCCCATGTAACAGGGGGTGAGCCTATTGCCATATACAGGGCACAACTCCAGACTCCATGCTACTACTGAGATAACCACATTATACTAACGCAAAAATTTCAAAATTCCAGGTATAAACGTTGTGATATACCCAGAAATGCTGTGTGCGGGCTACCGAGGTGGTGGCAAGGACTCTTGCCAAGGAGACAGTGGAGGACCTCTCATGCTAGAACGAGCTGGTCGCTGGTACCTCATAGGAGTTGTCTCCGCCGGCTACTCCTGTGCCAGTAGAGGCCAACCAGGGATCTACCACAGAGTCGCACACACTGTTGACTGGATATCACACGCCACAACCCTATCATAGCATTGATAAGTGAAGTGAACGAATTACAGTGCCTTGTGATTAGAAGTTTTAAGACTTAAGTAAAAAGGCTCAAATTTGAATGACTACTGAATTTCCATGGTTGACTAAAGTGTGTTCGTACTAAGCATGGTTAAAAATAAATTTGATTAAAATTTCTTTCTTAATTGAAAGTTTTGTTTAATCGCTTTTAGTTTTAATTGTGTTTAGTTTTTATTTTTGTGTGGTTTATGCAATGCTGTTAAAGTAGGTATGATTTAATAATACCTTGTTTCAAATTAACTCAATGAATAGAACAAAACAAACAATTGTATAGTGCAACATCAAGTCAAAAATATGAAAACTAGAGTAGCCTCTAATTCGTCTGCAATTAATAAAAGACTTTAATCACTTAATAATAATAGAGTCCGTTTTCCCAGGCTACAGTCCAATGAAATCGTTGGGTTATAAAAATACTTCGTTTTATTAGCATTTTTATTTCCTACACAATAAGGACGGTTTTCATTTAACATTTTTAGGGGCAATATAAAAAGGAAAATTCAGTGTTACTTTAAACATACTTTAGTATGTTCAATTTATGTAATAGATTTTCGAATCTATTATAAAACAGTAAAGTATAAAATCTATTGCAGATTATAAAAATTGGTACGTATACGTTGACCTGCCAGCGTCTGTACATTTATGTATTAATAAACAATTATTAATATTTTATTACCCCATTCCACCAAATAGTCAATTAAATAACCATTTAGGTATCGATTTATTCATAAAAAATAAATAACTTTAAATAAAATAAACATCACAAAATAAATGTCACTCGTAATTCCTTATTGTTCTTGAAATAATTTATTTTAAGGTATTTTATTGTGATAAAAATAATTAAATTCAATGAGATTATTGTTGCATGATAAATAAATACATAAATACTCGCTGTTATTGCAATTTTAACTTTATAATTCTTATGTATAGTGCCTTAGTTTGGAACATGGAGATTGGAGTAAAATATTGGTCACAAATATTGTTCCAAAGCTTGGTTCAATTAATCATCATTCATATCGTTAGCTGGAATATATCCTCTGCAGATAAAAAGTCACCATTTTCAGAAGCGGTTTACCATAATCCCCACACTTGGTAAACAGGTTGGGGATTCGTTCAAGTATTATGTGAGAATTATTTATAAAAACACCAAGCACAGTTCTTCATGTGTTTGTGACGAATATTTAGATCTAATCTTTATTGTTTTCAAATAAATATCTTTTGTAAATATCCCGTTATTTGTAAATACGTAACAAAAGGAACATACATGTCAAAATAGTATAGAAAGGAGCGTAGTCGGAGTAAAAATAAAAGATAAAGTGAAATTACAAAATATAAAGAGCAAAACTAAATTTAAAAACATACTTACCACCTATAAGCGCCTGAAATGGAGATGGGCAGGACACATGTTAAGGGAAGAAAAAGAAAAGTGGACGAGAATAGTAACAGAATGGTACCCGCGAGATAGTAAAAGAAGCAAAGGTAGACAAAGCAAACGATGGGAGGATGACATAAAAAAGATAGCTGGTTCAGGATGGACACGTACTGCAAAGGACAGAATTAAATGGAAATCCTTAGAGGAGGCCTTTGTCGAAGGACAAGCTGTAAAAGAAAAACCAGTTCCCGATACAAGGATTCAACAATAAACAAATTGGAATTAAACAAAAAACATCCAAAACTTGAAACGTAATACGAGTATCTAGACTATATTATTATCCATATTGTATACTGCAAGTTACAGCAATAAAGGCTTATTTTATTTTATTTTATTTTTATTTTATTTTTTTAACAAAAGGAACAATTTTATATTTTTTTTACAATTTCTACCATTATTATAAACTGTTAATGTAAATAAAAATTAATTAAGTTATAATTTAAAAAATGTGCTTCGAGTAAGTTATTCTGCTTTTAATTTATTTTGTACCATTTTTTCTACTTTTCTGTTATAAATACTTAATATTAGGTAATTATTTTGTTCATTAACGAGGACAAAAATCGTTGTTGATAAAGTACGTAATTTAATGTTAATTTAATAAATTGTATTTATTGTTAATTTATTGGTTTGTTTTATTTTATTATTTATAATAGGGTAGATGACTAATTTTTTATATTAATGTCCGTCTATGTTAAAATATTACACACATATTTTTTATTTTTTTACGGAAACGAATAGTTTCGACTTTCAACGATATATTAATTTGAAATGTCGCGTGACGTCACTTCTATTTACATTTTATACGTAGAAATGACGTTTTAGCCCCCACTCCTAAACTTTTATTATAGAGGTACATCAAAATAAAAAAATACGTGTCTAATATTTTTTCATTATCTAACTTACGGACTAATTACATTTTTAATTTTCATACCCTGTCATCATCCTTGCGGTCGCATAAGCGACCGCCGCGCCGGGTAAGGGGTCTCGGGTTCGATTCCCGGGTCGGGCAATGTAATACTGGGTTTTAAAAAAATCTCAGTAGTAGCACGGAGTCTGGAACTGTACCCGCTATGGCAATAGACTCACCCCCTATTACATGGGACTCATAACATAAATAGTGAAAAGTGAGTGTTACATTGTACAGTGGCATTAAGTGCCGTAATGTGCACCTCTGCCTACCCTTTCGATGATAAAAGGCGTGATGTTATGTATGTATGTATATAATTTATAATTATGAATTAATTTGACATTTTTAAATATTTAAATGTTTTTGCATAGTGTTCATATTTGACACAGGAATTTTAATTACTAGTGGATCTATTAGTTTCTATTGAAATTCATTACAATGATCAAGGTATAAATTTATGGGAATAAAACAAATTTAATCTCTCCAACAAATTTAATAAGACTAGATTACACAAAAAACAAATATAATTAACAAAAGAATTACCAGCCAATAGGAACGCGGTGCGCGCGCACGAACTTTTCTAACAAAACGTACAGAGGTCGATAGTATCTATTAAGAGCTGATGCCGATATGACGTGTTCTCCTATTGTAGCTTCAAGAATTTGACTCCAATGCTGTGAATGACCTCGGGACATGAAATCTCTGTAAAAATAATATTTATTTATTTTAGTTTTATACAATTTTTTTTAATAAAACGTTGCCCCACACTCCTGGGCTCCTGGCTCGACGTGCAGGAGAAGGAACGGAGTGGTTTTTAGTCAGTAAGAGTCTGACACTCCCTCCCGCCTCACCCAGGCGGGAGCAGTCATTCGATGATTTTCCCCACTTAAATAAAAAGACTAGGGTTTTCTCCTGTGACGTGGGTGCGTTTACAAATATATAAGTTCACATACACAATGACACCCAGACCCAAAACAACAATTTGTGGATAACACAAAGTGTTGTTCCGTGCGGGAATCGAACCCGCGACCCGTTGCACGGCAATCGATTGCCCAGCCACCGCACTAACCGTGCAGTCAATTGCATAAGGAAGACTTAATGCTAACAGCATTCTCTGCCAGTCATCCTTTGGGTTCCTAGTGCAGAAATGTATGTGGTAGGTGGAGCTGCAAAAAGGTTATGACAGGTAGTGGTAAATATCCAAATTAATATTTTATTCGATATAGTAAAACCTGGTTAAGTGAGACATTAAGGGACCTGCAATGTTGTTTCACTTATAGACGTATTCCACTTACCCAGTGTCTCAGATATACAGGTATAAATTAATATCTGTCTCATTTACAGAGGGTTCCATTAATAGAGGTGGACTTGGAATTACGTGTGGAATTTGTGTGTAGAGGTAGAATAAGAATGAGTAAACAAACAATGTTATCTCAGTTACAGAGGTTTATGCATATAAAATTTACTCGCTGTCTCAGTTATAGAGATACGATGATAAATCGAAAGAACAAATCCCAGATATAGAGGTTTACCTCGTCCCTCTAACAGAGGTAATTCAGTGCCAAAGTGTTGGGACCTCAGCATGAGTTCCAGTTATGGAGGTTTCTCACTTATCCAGGTCCCACCACCCAAGTATCAGGCTTTTAAATTTTCTTAAAATCAGTGATTTTAAGAAAATTTAAAAGTGAACCTTTGGACTAACTGCTCCGTGGATTGACTGATCGCAAAACTTGCTAAGTAAATTATTATGTATTAGAAAAATTTGGGCCTCCGGTAACCTCACTCACATGATAAAACAACGCAAGCGTTGCTTCACGTCAGTTTTCTGTGAGGCCGTGGTATCACTCCGGCTCAATCGTGCTGAAGCATGGCTCTCCCACACATGATCCCAAATTTTATTTAAAAAATGCTTTTTGTAATAACTATCGTGAGACATACTAAATTAACTAATATCGCGGGTTACTCTCGTAGCTCATGAGGAAGAACCCCTCTGTGGTTCGAAACTAGTAGAGCTTTTCTCAGTATATTCACGTGAGTAACCTGCGAAATTAGTAAATAAATTGCTTACTTCAAAATCTTTCCAGCAGCTTTAGACCCGTATATATCACATCTAGTGAGGCTGATGGTCTCCGGTATATCACCCTCTACGCTACGTCGTCCAAATATCGCAGCTTTGCACAACTTCTCGAAGAGCTGGTGTTGCAGGAAGCTGCTTAAGAAGTACCTGGAATATAAAGGAGACATTTTATAATCATACATACATACATACATAACTTCACGCCTGTCTTCCATGGGGGTAGGCAGAGACTAAGGACCGCCAATTACTACGATTCTTACATACCTCTTTCGCTTCATTAACAGTCATCAATCTTTTCATGCATGCTCGTCAGTTAAGGGTACTTTTAATTTGGCCCTTCTTTAATATATCGCCAATCTGGTCACTATATGTCCGTCTAGGGCGCCCTCTACCGACGGCCCCATTCATATCCGCTCTGTATACTTCTTTCGTTACTCTACTTTCATTCATCCTTTCTACATGTCCAAACCAGGGTAACATTCCCTTTTCAATCCTTGTCACTACATCATCTTTCAATCCACACCTTTCTCTAATAACACTATTTTTCACTCGATCACTCAATTTTAGTCCACACATACTTCTCAGGGCTCTATTTATAATCATTGTTAGTTAAAACAGTCTTGTTTATTGAGGAATCGTAAGCGAGGCTGCGGAACAAGAGGTCGGGGAATTTAATATTGTGTTTTTGATGTTTTCAGAAAAAAATTCGGGAGTTGGATCACTCCAGACATTGTTATAACTGTTTCTTTGGATCGAATGTCTAGACTTCTAGTAGTCAGTTCAGTATTATGCGCTGGTATTCTACTGGCCCCTTAAGTGATTCGCGGACGAACAAGCCACCAATCCTTACTAATGTTATAAATCGGAAAGTGAGTTTGTTTGTTCCGCTTTCACGCCGTAACTACTTAACCGATTGCTTTGAATTTTTACAGACGTAAAGTTAGAAATCCGGATTAAATAATAGGGTACTTTTTATCTCGGAAAAAATGTGATATTCCCGAGGGAAAACAAAAGTATTGGTATAGATGGCGCTGTGTGCATTGGTATATTATTATGTCACAGGCTACTTTTTTTCCTTTTGTGACGCGAGGGAAGCCGCGGGTAAAAGCTAGTTAGACATAAATAAAAAAATAATTAAAAACGATGAAAAATAAATGACTTATTGCATGATACATAAATATTCGAGTTGCTTTAGAACTTATAGTACGTACCTGATGTACGGTGTATTATCTGGCACATGGAACTTCGCCCCTGCATCAAAATACCTCTCCCCCCTTTCACCAGGTGCAGCCACTCCCTGCAACTCTTCCACTAAAGACCAAAATTCCTTGTTCACTTCTCGCACGTTACCTTCAAAATACTTCCATCTATACTCATCTACAGCAAGGGAAAATGGTATCTGTGGTAGCTTATTTAAGGCTTGTTTTAGCAAGAGTATTGTGTCTGTAGTTACGTCTTTATCTTCAAGCAATTTTGGTGTTTCCTTGTCATTTAAGAGTACGTGAGCTTCTTTTAATTTTTCCTCCACAACTTTGTTCAGAAATAGTTCTTCATCGTGATCCTTTACTTCGTTATTTGCATTTTCATCTTTAACTATGGTATTTGAAGGTTGATTATTGCCTGTATAGAGTAGGGAATCGTTGATAAGTCCGAGTCTGTTCAAATGTTGTGGTGTTAGAACTCCATACATGATGGCGTCTCCTATGGTCTCGTGGAGTGCAGCATTGGCTTGCTGCAAATACAAATAATATTATTATTTGTAAGGATTGTTAAGTTCGCATTAAATTAGAATTATTGGGTGTATAACATGACATCACGCCTTTTATCCAGAGGTGCACATTATACTACTGTACAATGCAACATCCACTTTTCACTATTTATTTTATGAGTCCCATGTAATAGGGGGTGAGCCTATTGTCATATACCGGGCCCAATTCCAGACTCCGTGCTACTACTGAGAATTTTTAAAAACCCAGTAATACTTTGCCGGACCCGGGAATCGAATCCGACACCCCTTGCCCGGCAGTCGCACTTACGACCACTCTGCCAACGAGGCAGTTATTGGGTGTATCTTTATGGAAAACAAGAAAATGATCTCTGATGCCTATTACATTACATTAGCTCGTAACAATAGGGCTCCTAACTGTCGAGAGATTAGAATATGATGAGTTTACTTGTATCTATCTCTGTCATTATCAACATGGAAAGCCTATAAGTGGCTACTGCTGACCAAAAGCCTCTTCTCACACGGAGAAGGTTTGAGCATTACTCACCACGCTTGCTCAATGTGGATACCGATTTCAAACTTATAATTAGAAATTTACTGCCTCGTTGGCCGAGTGGTCGCAAGTGCGACTGCCGGGCAAGGGGTTGGGCAAAGTATTACTGCATGGGTTTTTAAAAAATTCTCAGTAGTAGCACGGAGTCTGGAATTGATTGTGCCCGTTATATGGCAATAGTGAAAAGTGGGTGTTACATTGTACAGTGGCATAGTGTGCACCTCTGCCTACACCTTCGGGGATTAAAGATGTGATGTTTTGTGTGAATTAGAAATTATAAGCCCAGGTTTCCTCACGATGTTTTCCTTCATCGTTTGTCAGTGGAGTCTAAATAATCTTAGAAAGTACATATAACTCGGAAAAAGTCACATTGGTACTAGCCATTGGTAGGTTTCGACCCGCACTCTCATGCATAAGAAGCGGCGTTTTAAACCTCCACCACAACTATGTACATACTATTTATCTTAAGGGTAGTATTTAATACTTTAACTGTAAATTCCACTTTTTAATCATAAGATCGTTTATCCCCGAAGAAGTAGGCAGAGGTGCACATTATACCACTGTATAATGTAACATCCACTATTTATGTTATAATTCCTTGTCATAGGGGGTGAGCCTATTGCCATATACCGGGCACAATTCCAGAATCCGTGCTACTACTAAGAATTTTTAAAAATTCAGTAATTTTTTGCCCGACCCTGGAATTGAACCCGAGACCCCTTGCCCGGCAGTCGCACTTGCGACCACTCGGCCAACGAGGCAGCATTATTAATCAAAATATTCTAAATTACCACCAAAAATACTGAATTGCACACAAAATTTGCTCATCAAAAATATCAATTATACTATTCTGTTAGATTTTTAAAGCTTAACTGTTTTACTGAATGACTACCTTTTAACTAAAAGTAAATCTAATAATTCGTAACCTAACCTATTATGGAAATTTTGTTGTAATATTGAACAATTTGTGTGCAAATCAGTATTTCTGTTTTACGGTGAGTAATATGTAGGTAGTTAATTTGTAGTACAGTCGTTTTTTAAACGGTTTTATTTGATACTAGCAGCTCGTCCCGGCTTCGCACGGGGTACCCAATTATTTATTTTTGAAATTTGGATTGTTGTAGTGACATAACTACAATAGTTGAACATATGCTACCGGGGAGTTTTTTGTAGACATTATGATGTTCTTCAATATTGTAGTACATTATTGTTCTATCGCTAATAGTTTCGGCAGCGCATTCGACGAAAGACCTTTTAAGATTCATTTTTCTACACCTTCGGTTACATTGTTCAAATTTTACCAATTTTTTTCAAAATGAAATGTAGTCTATGTCAAATTGGAAGAATGTAGCATTCTATTGGTGAAAGAATTTTTTAAATCGGCCCAGTACTTTTGAGCCTATTCATTACAAACATACAAAAATAGGTACAAATCTTTCCTCTTTATAATATTTGTATAGATGTAGTAGGTTATGAGTGGAGAAATTTGGTTTGCTTAAATTTCTAAATAGAGGTTAGGTTAATAATTGCTTACCCTGTATATTGCAGGCTGTTGTTCATAGGCCATGTAATACTGTATGTGACCAAGTTCATGATGCAACACGTTAAAATCCTCCTTTGATATGTCTGAACAGTACAGCAGTCTGAAAATTGAAAATTTTTGAATGCACGCTTGACGCGGCAGTTGGGCAATTGACTGCCGCGCAACGTGTCGCGGTTTCGATTCCCGCACGGAACAACTCTTTGTGTGATCCACAGATTGTTGTTCCGAGTCTGGGTGTCGTGTATATGTGAACTTGTATGTTTGTAAACGCACCCACGACACAGGAGGAACACCTACAGTGGAGCAATGTTTAAAAAAAAATAGAAAAAAAATTGAGTAACAAATGGATTAGGGGTTGTCCATTAATCACGTGAGGCTTGAAAGGGGGGAAGGGGTGTAGTAAGATATCTCGTGTATTTATTACTAGCTTTTACCCGCGGCTTCGCTCGCGTCACAAAAGGATAAAAAGGTAGCCTATGTGACATATACCAATACACACAGCGCCATCTATACCAATACTTTTGTTTTTCCTCGGGAATATCAAATTTTTCCGGGTTAAAAAGACACCGAGTGGCTTGATGAAACCGATGTTGATTTTCAACAAAGCCCAGTGCCAACAACTGACCTGCAAGATGCTTATCCAGTTGTTAGTGTTGAAGAATGTCTTGCTAATCCGTGGTCGGAGGACAATATACATTAAATATATTCATGTACTAGTACAATACATGTTTTTCCTATGATTACACTCTTCGTTTATTATTATTGTTATGGCAATCAATAAAAACTTGCAACCTGGTGTAGATAGTTATATTATGGTCTTTAATTTCAGAATAAAATATGTAAGATTATAGTTTATACTTGTACTAGCTTTTACCCGCGGCTTCGCTCGCGTCACAAAAGGATAAAAAGTAGCCTATGTGCCATATACCAATACACACAGCGCCATCTATACCAATAATTTCGTTTTCCCGGAGTACCAAATTTTTCCGGGATAAAAAGTACCCTATTATTTAATCCAGACTTCTAACTTCACGCCTGCAAAAATTCAAAGCAATCGGTTTAGTAGTTACGGCGTGATAGTGGAACAAACAAACATACTCACTTTCCGATTTATAATATTAAGTAAGGATTTAAATTAAGATAATATTCAGAAAATTTTAAGATTCTTTGTAGGTACTAAAAATACACGTGATGTTGAGGGGGAGGGGGGTGGTCTTAAACCTCACTACGTATCACCAATGGAGGAGGGGGATTAAAAAATGGTTGAAAAAAGATCACGTGATTAATGGACAACCCCTTACCTATCTAAAATAATATCTAAACTATTCATTAATCAACCATATGTGAAGCAAAACCAAACAAGTGAAACAGCCACAACAAAACAACAACTATTATTTGGTATTAAAGTTCTCTGTATTCCGTGTTACCGGGAATTGAACCAAAGACCAGTTGTACAGTAGCAAGTTATCCACTACCCAAACCATGCAGTCAAAAGTTATATCAAGCCTAGTTACAGTAGAAAGTCTTTAAAAGATAACTTACCTAAAGTCGCCATCTTGAAACATGTCCGCCGCCGTGCCGTGACAGCGTGCGTCACTGTTATTTTCCCGCGAAAACACGGATTCGCGCCAAAACGTATCTGTCATGGCGGGCAGGCCAAGCGATTGGTAAAAGTCTTCTGCTCTTTTTGCCTGTAAATTAAAGAAAACGATAAAATAACTAAATTATTTTATCAATAATTATTTTCCTAACTTATATGGCCGATTATATTTTAATATACCTAAATTTTAAAATAAATGTTCAAATAAAGTTACATACGGTGAAGGAAAACATCGTGACGAAAACTGGGCTTCTTATAATTTGTAATTATAAGTTTGAAATCGCCAACCCGCATTGAGCAAGCGTTGTGATTAATGCTCCAACCTTCTTCATGTGAGAAGAGGCTTTGCTCAGTAGTGGGCAATTATAAGCTGTTGATGATGATACCTAAATATTTTATTTATATGTATTACATACTTTTACACGTATTGCTAATGTTTGACGACGTAACTCAACTAGTTTCAAATCGCGGTAGGAGCCCATAATCATGAGCAGCAATTATAACGGAGTGAGCCGCAGAATAGATATGTAGTACTAAAAATGTTTTCTCTGTGTTTGACTCAAGCTTTAAAATCCCATCAATCCTCAAATTCCTAATCCCCTAAAGGCCGGAAACGTACATGCAACGCCTCTAGTGTTCCAGGTATCCATGGGCGACACCAATTGCTTACCATCAGGTGATCCTTCTGCTCGTTTACCGGCTTATCCCATAAAAAATACAAATCTTATATTATATATAAGATTTGTATTTTTTTAAAATACTATAATAATATATATATAAGATTTGTATTTTTTAAAGAAAGTCGTGTTAGTTACACTATTTATAACTCAAGAATGGCTAAATCGATTTGGATGAAAATTGGTGGGGAGGTAGCTTAGAACCAGGAGACGGACATAGGATACTTTTTAACCAATACTTTCTTTTTACTTTTTACCGAAAATCACGAACGGGGACGGGAAAAAATGGGATTACGCGTACGAAGTCGCGGGCAGAAGCTAGTAACATATATAAGAACATCACTCACCATATGCAATACAGTCCAGTTTAGTTTCCTAATATTCTCATCCAAATCTATATTTCGAGGCAGTAACAAATCCGCTAAGGGCTCCCAGTTTTGCGACCAAAGATTTCCTGGAAATTTTTAAATAGCAACGTTTAATTACAGTTCCAACGGAATAATTAAACATTCAGTTTGTTTAATGGGCTGTGTGATTTTTAGGCGGTTAACTCCGTAACCGAATATCTACCATCAGCTCAAATTAGTTAATGTAATTTTTGAGCTGTTTGGCCTCGTTGGCCGAGGGGTCGCAAATGCGACTATCAAGGGCCGGCAAGGTCATCAAGGGACGCCGGGCAAGGGGTCTCGGGATCGGGCAAAATATTACTGGGTTATTTTAATTCTCAGTAGCAGCACGGAATTTGGAATAGTGCCCAGTATATGGGAATATCCTCACCCCCTATTGACATGGGTCTTATAAAATAAATAGTGAAAAGTGGGTGTTACATTGTACAGTGGCATTAAGTGGCGCAATGTGAACTTATGCCTACCCCTTCGGGGATAAAAAGGCATGATGTTATGTTATGTTATGTTGTGATTAACGTTTTAACCAAACAGCAACCAGCAGCTAAAATAAGTTAGTTATATTGTGTGTAGCTATAATTATGTGAAAGGCGAGGGGTCTCGGGTTCGATTCCTGGGTTGGGCAAAGTACTACTGGGTTTTAAAAAAATATTTTAGTAGTGGCACAGAGTCTGGAATTGTGCCCGGTATATGGTAATTGGCTCACCCCTTATTATATGAGACTCATAACATAAATAGTGAAAAGTGCGTGTTACATTGTACAGTGGCGTAATGTGCTTCTGCCTACCCCTTCGGGGATGAAAGGCGTGATGTTATGTTATGTTATTTTTATATGTTTAAATAAATATGATTAGCTTAGTAGGTAGTTTACCCAATAAATGAGCAGGTATAGGTCCATGAGCAGGCACAATGTCACCATAGAATCTTCTTAGATAAAACCTCATCACCCCATGTAATAGGCTGTATAAGGGCTTTATACTGTTGTACAGCTGTCGAGATACTTCACGCAGTTTTGTCACTTCCAGCTCTTCACGCCAAGAGACGCCGATGTTGAGGTACCCTGGAATTTAGGAGAGTAATTATGAGTTTATGTCTAGTACGTGGTCGTGACCGATCTTAGAACCGATCTGGATCAAATAAAATAGTAAAATATATATTTTTAAAACTGCTTGACTTTGCCGTTGGCCGACTGGTTGCAGGTGCGACTGCCGGGCAAGAAGTCGGTTCGATTCCCGGATCATTGGGTTAATCAATCAAAGTATGATTGGGTTTTTAAACACTCTCAATAGAAGCACGGAGTCTGGAAATGTGCCCGGTATATGGCAATAAGCTCACCCTCTATTACATGGGACTCATAACATTAATAGTGAAAAGTGGGTGTTACATTATACAGTGGCATTAAGTAGGTACCGTAATATGTGAAAAATAAATGTTACATTGTCCGTTCATCTATGGTAACGTTACAGTAATTTAAAAAGCTCAATTAATTCTGAATTTATTAAACCCTGAAATTAAATCCGAAACCTACTGATTCCGTTTGGACAATTTCTTTTTCGATAATCACATCTTTCGAGGGTTTCTTAAATACGTATGCACTTACCATTCCTCCTCGCAGCCTTATTCTCAATAGAAACCAATCTCCGATAAGGTTCCTTCATAGGAGGTCCCACCTTTTCCCTCCAAACTAACCACAGCCACCTTAAAACCTCCTCATTCTTCGAAAAAGCCATCATCCTATCGAAATCAGACTCCCCTTTCAAACAAATCATATTTTTGTCTTGAATGTAACGATTGACAGCGAATTTGGCGGCAAAGAGCGCGTCGTCGCCATATTGGTTCGAGAAAAACGTTTTGACGTTTGACAGATAATTCAAGATGGCGGACTCAACTTGAGTAAGGTTGTTTGTGGCAGTGTTTGTGTCCGTTGGAATACAGATTTCGGCTTCTGAATATATTGATTGCAGTTCCTCATATAGATTACTTGTTATTCTGTAAAAATAATTAATATTAGAGGTGACCAAGACCTTTCATTTCGGGTTCAATATTTGGGTGGCTCAAAAGTTACAAATTATAAATCTTATTGAGGGTCTTGTACTAATCGTAACTTAATTAAAACCACCCAGTGTTTAACAATAAGCTTATCCCCTGTTACCTCCCTCTCTCGTCAGTTGAAATAAAACCTGCTTGCTTGCTAATTTATCAATTTATCAGGGACTAAATGATATTCTGGATGGACTGCCTCGTTGGCCGAATGGTCGCAAGTTCGACTGCCGGGCAAGGGGTCTCGGGTTCGATTCCCGGGTCGGGCAAAGTATTACTGGGTTTTTAAAAATCTCAGTAGTAGCACGGAGTCTGGAATTGTGCCCGGTGTACGGCAATAGGGTCATCCCCTATTACATGGGACTCATATAATAAATAGTAAAAAGTGGGTGTTATATTGTACAATGGCATTAAGTGCCGTAATGTGCACCTCTGCCTACCCCTTAGAGGATAAAAAGGCGTGATGTTATGTTATGTAAATGATATTCGTATTACCTTGTTTCATCAAAAGTATATTTCGGTCCTCTACACAATAAATAGTACTGCCTCCTTTGAGTGGCATTCAACGACTGACGGTTATATAGTGTTGCCAGCTTCGCGCATGTACTGTGTTGCCATTTAATTCGATTTTTCTGATATGTTGCGGATCGTGCTGGGAGTTCAGGGTTGCTAGGGTTTACTGAAGACTCCCACGCTAGATTGGCTGCAATGGAACTAAAGTTGCCAGTCTCGTCGTTTATTTTTCGAAAAAGGTGATCCAAATTTTCGCTGGCACAGGTTTTGAATATGAAGAATAGAATAAATATCTTGATTGATCCCATTTTTAGTTGGACATGTTTTTTCTGTGTTGTAAAGGAAGCTGGAAGAGATATTGTTTAATTAAAAACTTGGCGTAAGTATATTTGATTCATTATCATCATATTAATAGCATGTGATCTGCTGTTGTACTATTACATCCCCTATATTGTAAGAGAATTCGCCAAGATCTTCACGTTAGGATGTTTTTTATGTCATTAGCCGGTAACCGAGCAAACGGATCACCTGATGGTAAGCAATCGGCGTCGCCCATGGACACCTGGAACACCAGAGGCATTACAAGTGCTTTACCGGATTTTTGGGGATTAGGAGTTTGAGGATCGTTGGGGATTCAGGGATTGGGGAGATTGGAGAAGGGTAGGGTAATTGGGCCTCCGGTAACCTCACTCACACGACGAAACACAACGCAAGCGTTGCTTCACGTCAGTTTTCTGTCAGGCTGTGGTATCACACCTGTCGAACTGACCCAATCGTTGCAAAGCAGGATGTTCCCACGTAAAAAAATACAAAAATGAAACTAACATACCGACATTACGAAAATGTCACCTATCAGACAACCCACTACTGGGAATTCCAAAATCAAAACGCTGAATCACTCTCACCCACTCAAAAAGTCGGTTGATAAAACGATAAACGAAAAAATATATCACCAGCCGATCTTTTAATCGGGCCGACTAACGTACCCTCTAAAATAATATTGTAATCAGCGCAAAATAAAGTGTTTTTGATAACAACTAGAGATTACTGAAACCTGAAGCACCCTTCAATGTGATAAGATAGGCGGGCTTTCATAGCTAGCGGAGTTTCAGATATTACATTGAAAAAGTTAGTAAGTGTGATTTTTATAATAACTACTATCGTGATACATACTAAAAGCATTTCTTTATTGAAACAAAGAGTTTCCTTTTCTTGTATAGAAGCACTAATTCTATAAATTGTCAGTAGGTATGCATAATTATGTGAGCACCATGTTGGACTTTAAGATTTTTTATTTTTTTTATTTTAGTAAGTTATTAGTATAATCCGTCAAGCGTGTCTTTGCATTGTTCTTACATATGCGTACAGTATTGAAATATGTATGTATCAGAGACATTGTAGAACATACTTTTTTAAAAAGAGTAACGAATGGAGTTTCTTGCTCGTTCTTCTCCATTCGAATCTACTTTTTGGAATCAGCACCTACCTTCACCTAGTTTCACTGACGGACTGACTGACAGACTATTATTTGTTGACGTTTCAAAAGTACCAAACTATGGTTTAATTGAAATAAATGCTTTGACTTTGAAAAAAATGAACTAAAAATCGCGGGTTACTCACGTGAATATACTGAGAGAAGCTCTACTAGTTTCGAACCACATGAGCAGCCTACGCGGCTGCGCGACATCGAATGTCACGTGGTTCGAAACTAGTAGAGCTTTTCTCAGTATATTCACATTAATAACCCGAGAAATTTAGTTAATTAAGTGTGATTTTCAGCAAATTTCATTAATGAATAAAAAATAAATTATTCACGATTCTTCTTCACTGTGTTCATAACATAACATCACGCCTTTTATCGCCGAAGGGGTAGGCAGAGGTGCACATTATACCACTGTACAATGTAACACCCACTTTTCACTATTTATGTTATGAGTCCCATGTAATAGACCGTATATGGCAATAGGCTCACCCCGAGCCTATTGCCATATACCGGGCACAATTCCAGACTCCGTGCTACTACTGAGAATATTTAAAAACCCAGTAACACTTTGCCCGACCCTGGAATCGAACCCGAGACCCCTTGCCCGGCAGTCGCACTTACGACCACTCGGCCAACGAGCCAGTCTTGTGTTCCTAAATAAGAATCTTATACTCTTATACTATATTATATAAAGTTGACGAGTATGTTTAAACTAAATGAACTACAAATTACGAGTTACTCACGTAAAGATATTGAGAAAAGCTCTACTAGTTTCGAGTCACACAGGGACTCTTCTATATATATATTTTTTATTTGAACGCGCTAATCTCAGTAACTGCTGGTCCGATTTCAAAAATTCTTTTCGTATCGGTTAGTCCATTTATCGAGAAAGGCTATTGGCTAACATTACGCTTCGGTCTATAGGCGCCAAGCAGAGTTAGTGAAACGCGCGGAAGTAGCTGGAGAAGCATAATAGGAAGGGTAAACAAAATACATAATAATATGTAAAGAAAATAGGTTTTCTATAAGTTTGAATTGATTACTATAATTTGTCAAATATTCTGTAGTTTGTTTAGACGTCAGTATTACCTCTATAAGAATTTTGTGTTGATGAATATGTGGAAGAATAAACATTAACTAAATGTCGTTTGTTCATTTTATTTAATTGTAAATCCATACTTTGCGTCAGTTTAAACACCTTGTGAAGGAGCACTTTCTCACATTATAAGCTTCTGTTTCTCCTTTCATTAATTGTACATACATACACATACAAATACACACTCACACACACACACACACACACATACACACACGCACTCACACATAGCTTATTGTATTTTATATATTTAATATGTATTTATTTTTTATAATAATGCTAGTATATTATAATTATCTATTGTAGGTTGTATTGTAGGTATTTTTATTTTGTCTTTTTTTTATTGTACACTTAACTACCCCTTATCTGGTTTCTTATAAATATTTCCATCCAAAGGTTGTCTGGAAGAAATCACCATTGTGTGATAAGACCGCCCATTGTACGCATATTTACTTGAATTGATTGTTTTAAGCTACTTAAATGTGTACAATAAAGCATACATAAATAAATAAATAAATAAATCATAAGATTTCGTCTAATACATATAATACCTACACTAACTTAATTAAAAAAGACCCGGGATTTTTCTTATTATCTATGGTTTTAGGGACTTTTCGTTCAGGAACATGTCAGCCCCGTTAGGACATATGTTCTTACAATTTCTTTCTTCATAAAGGAAAGGTAGGAAGGTAGGAAAAGGTCTGTAAATTACATACAGACAAACAGACAGAAATTTTGTAAGCTACTTATATTTTTGGTTTTGACATCGATTGTAGATCACACCCAGGTATTCTTTTAAAACAATATACAATGCACATTGTTTTTTTTATTATTATGTATAGGTAATCACAATCATTTTCATCAAAGTAATGTACTAACTTTAAGAAGTTAACAGAATTCTCTACGAGTTCACCATTTTATTCCTAACTTAAAACATTTAAACGTTAAATTGAAATATAGAATTAAAAATTCCCATTCCTACTATTTTTTTAATGGAATATATAGACAAACGAGGTTTGGTCGTAAGCGATCAGCGTCGCCCATGGACACTTAAAAAAAAACCCTAAAACCTTATTAATTTAATAAAAACATAAATAAAACTTACCTTTATTTAATTTGTATTTGGAATACTTTCACGATAAATTATAACTTTTATTTAACTAAAACAATATAACAAAATTAATGTGTTTGTCTTTATGTATCCCTGGACTGGATCGTCCCGGCGAGAGATACGGAACACGACTGAAATCTCAACACCTCTAGTCGCGCGTACATTATAGTTAGGGTTCGGATGTAGAGGATAGAAAAACCTTTTTCAGAGAGATAAAAAAATAGCTTGTAGCACAGGGTTTCCCAAACTATAGGTTCCCATTGATGGGTCGCAAGTTATTTTCTGTGGGCCTTGTAGGTATGTAGAATGACGTATTAACCGACTGTTCTGTATTTTATTATTTACACTTGTAACAATTACATATTCTAAATTTTTTTTAAGGGGGTAAAATCATCGGATGACGCTCCCGCCTGGGTGAGGCGGGAGGGGTGTCAGACTCTTACTGACTAAAAACCACCCCGTTCCTTCTCCTGCACGTCGAGCCGGAGCCCCGGTTACCCGATAGGTTCTCCGCGACTCCGCATTGGTATCAGCCCTGTTGGGCCCCATCTGTGGTCTGATGGCTATTTGAGGTGCGCGCGGAACGCGACGCGCCGTACGCTCGGGTCTGGTTCTGGTCGGAAGGAGATGCAGGGATGAACTTGGCGCCCATGAAAAGGATTGACCACAGAAAGCTATAATAAGAGTTGAGTGGAATGAGGGTAGGGATGCTTTTGCCCTGCAGTGGGATGACCATGGCTAAAATAAAATAAAAAATAAATAATGGTGGTCCTACGTCCTAAGTTTTGGGAATATAATTTAAATAGGCTTTTGGATCCACTGATATAGCGTATTTTGAATCGCTTTTGGAACCACTGATACCTATAGCATATTATGAATCATAATGAACTGATTGTGACAATGAGAAAAGTAAACTTTTCAGTACGGCTAAATGAATATTTTTGTAAATGAAAATTCATACTAAATGAAAATACATAATATACTTATTTTGAGACAGGGGAGCAAACGTGCAGATGGATCACCTGATGGTAATCAATCAGCGCCACCCATGGACACTCGCAACACCAGAGAAGTTACAAATACGTTGCTGGTCTTTGGTGGGGGGAAATGGGATTGGGATAACCGCACACTTATGATTACTCACACAGTGAAATATATTATAACTAACATGGCTATTTATTTATTGACTTAAAACGGGGCATTCGTTTATTTAAATTAAGTCAGGCATCTGGTAGCTAGGTCCTATTATAGACAGGTCTCTACAGAGCACTCGGTACCCCTTATTACAGCTGCTGAGGCCACCGGGGTGGTTTTATTGAGGTAAAAATACCACACTTCCTAGTCTTTCTCCCCAGAAAGCTCTTATTATTGAACCTGTAAACACAAACTTTGCGCCCACAATAAAAAGGTTAATAAAATGTAGATACTTAAAGATTTTCGACTGTACTCCGTCAAAAATTAGCATTATATTTATGTATAACGCTGTATCACTCTTGCACACCATTCGAGATGTACCGAAAACTAATAACGAATTAAGCAAAATTTTGAGAACCTTAACACTACAAAGATGGAAGAAATAAAATACTGATTTATAAAATTAATTTACTTTATACTTTTA